AGACCTAAGTTCCTATTAAAGATAGCCTTTAATATTAAATCAACTTCTGCCTCGATTCATCAATTCAATATTGCTAAACATTCACAATCAAATTACATATGCTCGATTCATAATCTAATTGCAAAGAATTAAAACAATTCAATAGGAAATTATCATGCAATATTTACAATCAATAATAACAAACTATCCTTTCATATTAATTATGGATCCCCATGAACCCTAGAATTAAACTACTCACTAATCATCATAACTAATCCAATCAAATAAACAATTAAAAACATAAAAAAGAAAATAATTAAAATAGCTGAAATTAAAGAGGGAAGAAATTGTACCCAAACCAAATCTGGAATTAATGAAGAAATTAAGAACAAGAGTTTAGAGAGAATTCTAGAGAGAGAAAAATACTAAGTAGAGAGAGAAAGTCTAAGAGAGAGAAGGTCATAAATTAACCGTACAAAACGAATATATATCTCTCCTAAAACACGAAATAAACAAAGCTTAATCAGGTTCTAACAAAACATGCGCCCGATCGGGCCCGCCTTTTGTCCTAAGCCTAGACTATTTTGCCGCGCCCGATCGAGCCTACGCTCACCCGATCGGGCGCGCCTCATCTTGGCAGCTGATATGTGCGCAGCTCGCCCGATCGGGCGTAAGCTTGCCCGATCGGGCCCGGCTTCATCTTGGAGGTTTGGACTTCGATTTGGGCTAGATTTCTCGGCCCAATCCATATTACCTCTCGGGTCTCGAATAAAGGGCCAAAAACACTACTAATTATGACCAAGGGACGGGGGTAAAATACTATATAAAATGGACACATCACCTGCCACCCACGCGACTCCCTCAATCTCCATTCCGGCATTCCAAACCCACCACCTACGGAAATTTTTTCATGAAAAATCGACATGTGTACAATGATGATGTAAGCGGTTTTTATTTTAGTTATAATTATTATAGATAGATTGCATGGCTTGTTTAGTTGTTTGGAAAAAATTGATGCTTGTCATTTGTTGGCTGGTGGAGATGGTGGTGGTGGTGGCGGTGGTCGGTTTCCCCCCGCTGCTGTCATAGAGGCACGAATTTCGTCCCGAAATTTCTCCTGCTCCTTCGCCGCTATGTTGGCCTGCACTTCCTGGTCTTTTCGAAAGCGGTCGATTCTCCCATCCAACCGGATTCTGTCATCCTCCTGTCTCTTCTTCTCGGCTTCGAATAGAGTTGCGAAGCTGTCGGTAATGGCCTTCTGGGTGTCCGCCATGGCCTTACTCACGACCTCCGCCACCGCACGCCTTATGGACGCGTCCTGGTCCTGGAATTTGTCCTCAATGGACTTGAATCAGGATTCGACTACTTCCAACCTCTCATCCGCCGCATCAGCACGTTGGCTCAACGACGGTCCTCCGGCCATGATCGTACCAATTGTAAGGGACCGGTTTCTCACACTAATTAGTTTATGATTAATTAAGGATTAAGGCGAAAGCTTGAGTCTGTTTAATTGATTAACGAAGGATTACACACAAAAGGGATAGTTGACAGCTTTAGGCTATCACTCTCTAAGGTAGCTTGAGGCTACTAATCTCTGTCAAGTTCTCACAAATTTTCTGGATGAGTGGCTACAACTACAAGCCTTACAATTTATACTCAAGCACTACAATTTGCCTTAAACTAATTACGGATGACTTCTACAAATTGGAATTCACAATCACTTTGTCATTGTTGCTAAAGTGGTGTCTCCTCCTTTTCAAGCTTGTCTCTTTCTCGAAATAGCTTGCTTGACAAAAACTACTGCTTCCCCTGTTCTTCCAAATTCGTCTCCTCTCCCTCTTGGTTACCGTTGTAGTTGACTTGAGGTTGCCTCTCTTGTTGCACGTGATTCTTCTTGGACTTTGACCTACGGTGGTAAACCTTAATGGGCCGACCCAAGTGCTGATCCATTACAGAAGATTAATGTAGTTTACAACCTTTCAGTCACCATGAAAGCTCCCACCCCAAAAGCTCACCCTCTCAAACACTCAAACCCTAAGTGTTTTGGGTTAACATTGAAGCTCTCTCTCTCTCTCTATATCTTTCCCTTCATCCTATTACTCTAACAATGACAAAACATGAGTATATATAGTGCTAGATTACAAGGAAAATCAACGGCTAAGATTAAATCTCAAGCGAAATAAAAAAACTCGCACGCTGGAACACGGCAGCCGGTTCGACCGAACCTACCCTGAGTTAGATCGAACCAGGGGTGGTTCAGGCGAACCTCTTACCTCCAAGAGGTTCGGTCGAACTCACGGGAGTTAGTAGCTTCTGCTCGAAATCCTAAACTCCCATATTGCACGGACATCTCTTTGTAAACCGGCCATAACTTCTTCGATTCTTGACCAAATCAAGCTTATGATATATATATATATATATATATATATATGTATATATGTATATATATGTATATATGTGTATATATGTATATATGTGTATATATGTATATATATATGTATATATATATGTATACATATATACATATACATATACATATATATATATGTATATATATATGTATATATATATATATATATGTATATATATATATATGTATATATATATATATATATATATATGTATATATATATATATATATATATATATGTATATATATATATATATATATATGTATATATATATATATATATAGCCTTTGTGCTTGTTTTTTCTAAGATATATAAGGTGGAAGATTGACATTAGAAGAATAAGATAACCATGATGATCAATTGGAAATAACTGTGTAATTGAAGGTAGTGCCAGCAGTTTTGTGGCTTGGAACTCCCAAAGCTTATCAACTAAAAAAAAAACATTACTATTACTCTCTCCTACCCTATATATGAATATTCTTATTCCGTTCTCACTCTCCATCTTATTCCTTTTCCCGCAAGCTACCTCTAAAAGCATTATAATGTCATTCCCCATTGTATCCACCCCCTTTGCCTGATGCTTAGCATTTTGCTGCCTTGCTGGGTTGTGTCATAACAGTATATTCTTCACTGTACAAGTATAAAGTTGAAATCTAATAGATTATGAGTCGAGATATTAGGGCTTCTGTCAGGTAGTATGCAGTTAATTAAGTGGTTAATTTTTTACCATAGTTAATTTCTGGTCACCACTCTAGCTGTTTTCTTTCTGATGATGAGCGGCTGGATATGCTAGTCTTTTCTCATAAAGATTCTTCATAAGCTGCACTGGGATTTGGGCATCCCCCCTTATTTTTTTTACTGTGGGTAAGTTTAACACATGCAACTCATTTTTTCTTTGAAATCCTATGTCCTTCCACTTTCTGCTCTTATGCTAGCTTATTTGCAGGGGTCCTATCAGTGGTGAAACCTTTAAAGGCTAATTATCTGCCATATTATCCTCCAAGTGCTCAAAAAGACAAAAATACTACCAAATGCTTCCAGTTACCAATGTAGCTGTAATCCAAGCCTCAGAGTCCATTAAAACTCATCTGATTTGCCAAGTTTTGTATATATAGATAAAAGAAAGTTACCATTGTGGAGATCATAAAACACACCATATAGTGATCCTCAATAATCCTTGAAGTCTAGCAGCTCTGCCATGCTTCTTAATATGCTGAGATTATTGAAAGCCCACAAACTTCCTTAACGTTGGCCACAAAATTTTGAGGCTTTTGTGTTTAATGTAGTTTATTGAAGAAATCAATAAAAAAAATATGCAAAGGGTAGTTTTGGAGTATTTAGATTGTAGAGTTGGTGGTTAACTATTATGAAAAAGAACTTAGAACTTAGAAGGTCAGAATGCAGAAACTTTCCGGAATTAGGCTATCTATTAACTTTATTAGATTAATAGTTGTTAACATGCCTATTATTAAACAGACTGGATGCAGCTTTGAAAGAGGCAGGTCCATGCTTAGTATTAGGGGATTTTTAAACATGGATGTGGCTGTTTGAGATGAGAATGAGACAAGAAGAAAAAAAAAAAAAATGTGAGCACACAATGTGAAGAAAGAGCGCACAGAACATATCGATGAATAAAAGTCTTTTCCCCTTTATTCCCTACAATGGAAAATAATATTTAACCGCAAAGGTGGGGTGGGGGAGGGGGTGGGGGGCAGGTGAGGTGGTAAAATGCCTCCTTAATGCCTTTTTTTTTTTTTTTGTTAAACTCCTTTATGCTATAACTTCAGGAACTCAGGAAAGTGAGTGAACCAGGTTCACAATGTCGGATATTGGGCGTGTCACCATGATCTCATGATGAGCTCCTTGATTTATATGCCCCTGTCCTTCCCTTAACACCCTAAAAAAATTTCTGTCAGGAAAGTATGCCAAGAAAACAATTGTAATATATGAGGAAAGTGAAATTTTGGGAGCAAGTGTTATTCAAAGAAATGAAAATATTAGCGCTTGTACCCAAAGATGTGGACTGTATTGTCTCACTCTTACCTCCGATCCCTTTCAATTTATCATCATGTACATCAAATTCATTAATATTGAGTATCTATTGATCATTCGGATTAAGGTCAAAAGAGGTTTGGTTATTCTTAATTTTTTTTTAACTTGAGGAACCTTCTGAATTGTCATCCTTCTTTCCTGCTAAAGTTGTATATTACTGATTGCTACCCTCAAGGAGATGGAATTACTTGGCTTTGTACTATTAAATCTATGATGGAGTGTCTTGTTTTGTATTCTAACTTTCTGCTATATATTAGTCAAAGCATGGGGAAGGTAAATGTTTATTGCATCGCTTATTTTCGACGTTGGCTGTGGTAATGTTGCTTGTTCCCATTAAGATAGATTTTTTTGCTGCAATTTGTCGTGTGAAGGGAACACACAATTTTCTTAACCAAGAAACTAAAGATGTCATTGAACATGATTGCCCTACCATATCTTAATTAGTTTCATAGGTTCAATTTTTTTTTTTTTTTTCGTTCTTTCATAACCTTGCTCCAGTGATTAGTTTATATAATCTTACATTTGAACTCAAATATGACATGCTTGAATTTTCTTCAGAGACTAATCAAGGCTTGATAATGAGCAAGGGAGGTGCTCGTCTTTTGGCAGATACAACAACAAAAACAGATGATCCCCAAACTCTTCGAATGGTGGCTGGAGCAATTGCAAATTTATGTGGCAATGGTTAGCAGACATGACCACTTTCAATAACTTGCCATGAAGAAATTTAGTATCACCATTTTTCTTATACAAGTCTAGCATATATTTCATTTGTGCCTTTGAGTTGGCTCTTCCTACAATATTAGATGGGGAACATCTTTCCACTAAAACCCTTATAGAAGAAAGATGTGCCCTTGTCTTGTCAATAATAGCAGCAATATGGATTTTGTTCATGCTACTCATCTGCATGATTATACTTGCATACTATTATCATGAATTTTGATGTGTTCATGATTTGGATATATTCCAGTTGCATTACACTCGACACTCAAAGATAATGGAGGGATTAAGGCACTTTTGAGCATGGCTGGTTCTACAAATATTGATGTTGTTGCACAGGTAGCCAGGGGATTGGCCAACTTTGCCAAATGTGAAACACGAGAAGTTATACAGGGTATGTGAAGATTTTCCATCATTTGGTAAATTTATGATCTAATCATCTTCAGCAATTTTAAACATTGAAAGTATTTTCCCCTTCAGGTCATAGAACAAGCCGCTCACTTCTTATGGAAGATGGTGCACTTACATGGTTGATTGTCAACTCAAAGACTGCCTCTGAATCAACTAGACGCCACATGGAACTTGCCCTTTGCCATTTAGCACAAAATGGTAAGCTAATTTATTTCATCTGTAAAATTTGGCAATTTCTTTTGTTAATTTGTTTAAAATCTTATACTCCCTCCGTGTTTTTTTAAGTGTTACAGTTTGACCGGCATATAGTTTTAGGCAATTTAATTGACTTAAATAAAATAAGAGGTAAGTGGGGTGGTTGGAGTATTAAAAAATTGTAAAAGAAAGATAGTGAGGTTAATAATTTATTGAAAAGTAATGAATGTGAGAGGAGAGATATAATAAAAAAAAGTAGTAGTAGGTTTGGGTGGGGACCATGAGAGGAGAGAGATATAATATTTTAATGTAGTTTTTTGCCAAAAAAGAAAGTGTAACACTTATTAAAATACGGCCGGATTTGATAAGTGCAACACTTAAAAAAACACAGAGGGAGTAGCAGAAATATATATATATTTTTTTTTTCCTGAACTTATGCCCTGTTTGACTAGGATGCTTTCCAAGTGTATAAAGGGATGGTGTTTTTTTGCTTTAGTGTTTAGACCTGGCTTATTGGGTGGGCTGTTGTGGGCCACTATCTGAGTGGACTGATTTGGGGCCTATCAAAATTATTAGCGGGCTGTGATGGCTATGTAACTTAGGGCTAAGGTAAAGCATTGTTATTGAGCTGGGTCAAAATGTCATTCTAAAATCTTGCTGGTCAAAAAATTTTCATGTGTGAGGATTCTTCGAAAAATACCACTCCCTTCATCCCCAAATACATGTCTAAAACTTTATCTATTCCTCGACTTACTTTTAATCAACCAGAGCCCTATATATATATATAGGAGGGTTCCGGTGAGAATAGGTCAATGTGAGAATTCATACTTATATGAGAACTAATTTAAAATTTAGAACATGTGAGTAAAAATTTAAAACATGTGAATTAAAATTTAGAACATGTGAGTTAAAATTTAGAACATGTGACTCAGATTAAAATTTTTGAACATATGAGTAATAATTTAGAACATTTGTGTGAGTAATATGTTTAGAACATTTGATTTAAGAATTAGAACAAGTGATTAAAAATTTATAAAATTTGCTTTATGAAATTTTAAACATATGAGTAAAATTTAAACATATGATTAAGATTATGAACATGTGAATAAAAATTTAGAACAAACTGATATAGAATATAGAAAGTGTGAGTAAAGAATTTAGAACATATGAGTAAAAAAATAGAACATACAATTTAAAATCTGGAACATATTATTAAAAATCTTAGAACATACAAGTTAAAATTTTGGAACAAGTTATTTAAAATTTATGACATCGAACTTAACTAATTTATGGCTTAGAATATGTGAATACTAAATTAAAACATTTGATTTAATTTAGAACACCTAAGGAAAATTTTAGAACATCATATTTAAAATTTAGAACATACGAGTAAAAATTTAGAACATAAAGAGTGTTCTCACATACAAAAATTTCACATAAGAAAATTTAAAATTTCTTCTCGTGTCAAATAATCTGGATGATTAATGTTTTAAATCTTCTTCTAGTTTTCTAATTTTCTCAGGTGTTCTTATTAATTATTCCATGTCTAGAGTGGTAGGGGAGAATATTCATTTTGTTTTAGTTATGTCATGGAAGTATTAGTTGATTACTCAACATAAGCATATACTTTGTATTATTGCACCCAATAAAATAAGGAGTATAAGGCAAAAGTTGCAAACTCAAACTTAGTGAATCACTCATTGATGTGATCATTTATTGGAATATTTCTTTGATAAACTTTTATATAAAACATTTAAGTTGTGGTTTGCAATGATACACCTTAGTAGCGTTACATTATACTTTTCGTGCTCCTTGAAATATTGCTTATAGAGCATCAATACAAATTTTTTTTTTTAAAAAAATAATAATAATTGGGTGGACAAAACTTAGTTTAAAAATTGAAAATAACATATGACAACCAAAAACTTGTTGAATAAAAAACAGGTATTGAATTTCATTTTTGTTCATCATTTGTTATTAGTAAACCTTTGTTTCTTACAACCATAGTGTCAATTTCAATGCTATCACATTCTATATTTTGTGGAGCAAAATGGGGGAGCACACAACACAAGATTGATTTTGGTTTTGTCCAGCTAAATTTTATCTGTTAATGTACTAATTGTTGCAGAGGGTAACACACAAGACTTCATATCAACTGGGGGATTGAAGGAGGTAATTCGAATATCGTCTGAATCTGCGAGAGAAGATATCCGCAATCTGGCTAAGAAGACATTGAAATTGAATCGAATGTTTCAAGCACAAATGTCAGCTGACTAATAAAAGTTCAGTTGTACTGGAGTGTGGTGCTACATCCTTAGGCTTTTACTTCATATTTGTAAAATAGTGTAAATTTTTCCTGATAAAGGTTTGCTAGTGATGAAATGCAAATTGTTCGATCAGTATGGTAAACTCTAAACAGAAATAGCTTTTGTGTTGTACTTTGAGGTATTAGCAGGAAATCCATTTAATTTTTGAAAAATGTACTTTAATAATCTAAACTATTGAAATTTACTTCTAATAATCATAATCTCAACTAAGGTTTATTATCTAATAATCCTAATTATGGGGTTAGTTTGCCTCCAATGGTTCCAATGACCTGTAATCTATTAAAAGAGTATTTTTTTTAAGCCATTAGTGTAATATTAATAAAAAAATAAAAGAAAAAAAAAACAAATTCGGTTTTTCAGTCACCCCTCACCTTCCTCGTGAAACCATAAGCCAACCAAGCCCACCTCCCTAACCCCTAATTAACGACCGATCGACCCTTCCCACCCTCGAAACTCGCTGTTTGACTTTCTCAATTCTCGAATTTCCAGCGGCGCGTCACTCAGAGTTTCACTTCCTTTTGAAGCCTCACTCTGGCTGCACGTCAGATCTCGCTCCCCAGTAAGGAACTTCGGTCCAACAATAGAAATCAACACGATCTCGATTTGCACTTTTCTTTCGTGTTGAGGCTAGTGTTGAAGAGAATTGCGAGCTGGTTTAGTTGGTGGTTTCGGGGGTGGCTGTGCTACTGTGTAGTGGTGCAATGGTTGGTTTCGGGGGCTGGTACAGGTGCGGTGTGGCTGTTTGGGTGGATTCGAGGGTCATGGGTAGGTTAAATAGGGTGGCCGTCTGGTTTTGGTGGTTAATGGTGGACGGTGGACGGTGGACGGTGGCCGATTTCCAACATATTAATTGGTGGGGTTAGGGTTTTGTGGTGGAGGTTGGTGGCTGAGAATTTTTGTGTTTTATTTATTTATTTTAATCTTTTTATTTTTTTTAAATTTTGGACCACTCACATGTTGACACGTGTCATGGTAACTTGTTGTAACCGGTCATTGCCTTGGTGTTGACCGGTTAGGACTATTAGAGGTAAACACATAACATAGTTGGGATTATTAAAGTGTATTTTTCCTTTAATTTTTAATAAACTTAATTAGTTTATAGCTTCGAGCGATACCTCGAGTTATTATATATGTTACAATAATTGAGAATGGTATTAAAGATACATATCAAGACATGTTATTGATATGTCTATTTTATATAGTGATTTATCCCTATCCTGAAGGAATTATGTTTTCGATAAGTGCAATTACTAGATATATCAAGGATCACTATTATGGTGATAATAAGTTCGTTTTTTTGGGTCGTCATTGTTTGGTGCTAAATATGACAAATGATCTTTGGGCTAGTTAAATAGTCCAAAACCCAATAGAATGGATCTTATAAGGTCACACAACAAGGGTATTGGGTTAAACAAGTAAGAGGCCCATTAATGAGCCTCATGAGATTATGACATACCACATGGAGTGTTGGGCTAGAGCAGTTTGATTAGGCTTAGGATTTTGGGCTTGACATGAACTCTTATTTAGAGATATGATCTATAAATAAGATCCATTCTTAGGGTTGACATAAGACACAATTAACACGCAAATTATAAGGTGAACCATGGTGCACCTTATTCTGTGTGCACCACCAATAGCTTGCTGCCACGTAGCTTCTTCTTTTCCTAGTTAAACTGTAATACCCTAAACTTTTCTATTTTAAGTTTCGGGGACGAAACTTGTTTTAAGGAGGGTATATTGTAATACCCGAATATTTTATGATTTTATGTTATATATTTTATTAAAAAAAATAGTTATTTTTATTTATTAAATAACTTTCCTAATCTCATATTTTTATTTTAGAGTTCGAAAAGTTTTAAAACCCTATTATAATTTAAATATGACTCTTTATTTTAAAGCGTAATAAACTACTTTAACCCTATTATTTATTTGTACAGCCGTAAGTTTTGGTATAAAAATTCTTTTTTCATGGGCTTATATCTAGCAGTAGCCATAATTGCCATGAATTCCTATAATATGTATTATCTTCATGATAACTCTTGATTAAATCCATTATTATCACTTTTCCCCAAAAGTACAAGTTTTGTGCGTGAGATTTAATTGTGATGGTGGAGTACTTGTGCGTGACTGCGTGACTTGTTAATCATGAATCGGTGGAGTATGGTGCTTTATATTGCTTAATTGTTTTCAAAAGGTAATCACACGAACCTATTTGGGAGATGTTTGTATTATAGCATATGTAATCACACTACCTTAATTAATTTTTTGACTTGTTTGATTATAAATTGTTAGTATTAATTGTACTCCGTATTGTTATGTGTAAATTTTATAATTTGTGAATTATATATGATCATGATTTATATGTATATGATTAGTGTGTGGTATTATATGATTCTAATTGTCGTATTATTTTTGTGGTATTGATTGATTGTGTTATTTTTTCTAGGGTTTTTAATGTTTTTTTAGGGAGTATTGTTTTATTGAGATTTTAGGGTTATTAATGCAGAGTATTATTTTTGGGTTGTGAGTTAATTATTTTTTGGTGCTAGTATTACTCCCCTAAGAGTTGAGATGTTTTTTAATTGAATTGTTATGTTATTTGGGAACCTGTGCCATTATTGAGATATTATAAATTAATTTGTGAAGGATTATTTGATCAAGTATGAGATCAAAAGGTAGAGAATTATTTATTTTGTTCCTGGTTTGAGGCTCAACGTTATAGACCTAGTCCTTGATATGTTGGTAATGAGATAATGATCATGAGTTAAGAATGAGGTACAATCTTTATTTATATTTTTTTTCTATGGTCCCCTACAGTGGGAATTGACCCGTAGGTGGTTTGGTTCAAGGTGTTTTTCTGGTTATTGAGAGTATTCAAGTTTTTATACTTGTTGGTTTGTTATTCGAATTACCCGTGTCCAAGGCTAGGTATAGAACAACGAGCATGACACACTTATGGGTTTTATGAGATGATTGAGTAAATGTTCGAATTATTATTCGAGGTTGAGTTGACAGAGGTTATTTTCAAAGTACAATGTGTAATGTAGTTTCGAACTACATTGTTTAATTGAGCTAGTATTGTGTATTATTCAATTATACTCTATATTCTGATATGTGGTGATTACTCAGCTTTTGCTGACGTGTGTGTATTGTTTTTTTTGTGCTATTTGTGTTTGCGGCCATGTCTTTTTCTTATGGTGGCCCTGCGACGATATATTTTGGAATTTGTCCTTAATGGTGAGCAGTCAAGATTTTTTTAAGCAGATTTATCAAGTGATCGTAGCTAAGGAGCTCAAGTGTTTCGATTAGTTTGTTATAACGAGTTTATAAAGTTGTACAAATAGCTCACTTAGAGTTATTGGGTTGTAATTATTGAGATTTTTTGTAAGCCTTAACACTTGACAGGTTGTTGAGTGTGGCGGTAATACCTCTGATTTAGGTGTATGCTTCCGCAATTTTATTAAAAGGTTGTTTATTTTTCCTTTAATTCTTATTTATTTTTAGTTAGTAAATCGGGGGTGTTACATAAACTTTCCCATTTTGCAACGTACTTCCTGCGTTTGTTTCCTCTTTCAATAACTTCCTAATTTCTCAAATTTTCCTTTTCCATTATCATTCAAAAATCTTCTTTCGTCAATTTTCTCTCTCCTCTAGTTTTCTCTCTTCGATTTTCTCTTTCCTTTACTTTCTCTCTTTGTTTTTTTCATTTTTATTATCACCATTGTAGATTGCTATGTTCTTTAGTGTTGTTCTTGGCCATGGATTTGATTTCTGTACCTGAAGTTCTTGAGAGTGGAGGTTGGATTTCTTATTTTAATTTATATTTTCGTTATTAAGGTTTTTTCAATGTAATTTTTTGAGTGATTGTTTATTATCACTAATTATTTGAATTTATAATTATCTTTTATCAGTTGATTTGAACTCATTGTATAATTAGGTTTTGATTTGTTTATTTGATTTCATTGTATAATTATTAGGTTTGTTATTTGTTGAAATTGATTTTTGATTTTTATGAAATTTGAGGTTTAATATGATTATGAACATTGCATAATATTTAGGTTTAATTAGTTGTATTTTCTATTGATTAATGTTGAACTAATCAAACTATTGACTTATTTTTAATAATCTTCTGGATTTTTTGTAGAGATTTTGATTTTTTTTTTTTTTTTTTGTATTTTAGTTATTTCTGATGATTTTGATTATTTGTTTATTAAACTGTTCCTGAATTCTTGATTCTGAACATTCGGTTCATATGATTTCTTGCTGAACAATTTATGTCAAGAATTTGAAAGATATACGTATATTTTAGTTGAAAGTGTTTTGTATTTGATATCTGAATTATGAAGATTAATATGATTATGAACATTGCATAATATTTATGTTTAATTAGTTGCATTTATTTAATTGATTAATTGATGAATTAATCAAACTATTGATCTATTTTTAATAAGCTTATGAGATTTTGATTTCTTATTGTATTTTATTAATTTGTGATGAATTTGATCATTTTTTGAATGAATATTATTTGTTTATAATTCGTATAAGTCGTATTATTAGCAGTTTAACATTATTATGAACACTGTTATTATATTTATGAACCTTGTTGTTATTTTATTGAACCTTTGATCATGTATGTTTTTAAAAAGAAAATTGTACAAATATATGAACATCGATTTCCTTTATTTGAACTTTCTTGTTTTATTTTTGAACTATAGTAATGTTTGTTATGCATTGTGTTTCGGGGTTTTCTGATGTCCTGCGGGAGAGTTACAATTCCGAGACTGGAACCGGACGCCTGTACCTGCAAAATAACGGAGACTCCTGAGAGCTCCGCCTCCAACGGTCAAGTTAGTACCTGATTAAGGAGTAATCAATACAGAAATTAAAGTAATGAGATCTCTCTAGGTGAGAGTGCTTAGTGTTGGTAATCTGCGTTGTTAGCGAGATTAGTCGGTTGTTAATAAGTCTGTTCTTCTCTGCTTGATCTCTTAATTATTCGGTCCCTGATTAATGAGGATTAATCGAGTATTTATAGCCTTGGGAAGCGTGCAACTCTCTAGGTTTAAGGTAAACCTAGGGCTGATCGGGCCTCTAGACTGAATTGGGCCTTGATGGCCGGTTGTCCCATTTGGCATGGGTGGACACGTGGCGTGTCTTAAGTGGTCCGTGGAGGACGTATCTGTGATTGACACGTGGCAAGCTCCTGTTGGCCTTCGTGAAGGACACGTGGCGGAACCTGGTTGGTCCACTTGTCAGACGGTGATTGGTGGATAAAAATCCCCTAATCATTTGCCCCTCACAGGTGGCACGCGACTGGTCACGTGTCGCCTGTGACAGGTGTCGCACAGTGGCAGGCGACGGCCCGTTACAGGTGTCACCTTGCAGACGGCCGAGAGATTTTCCCGCCCAAATTTTGAATTTGGAAGCGACCCTTCGCCTTCTCATTTTGCCTATAAAAGGAAGTGCTGACTTCGGTCATTTTCACATTTGAGAACTTTTGCGAGAACATTCGGACCCCTGAACTTGCTCTGACATTTTCGGACTTTTTCTGCCTACCGCCTGTTCTGACAAGCCGACTGACCCGAACAGGCGGTAGGACTGAATCTGTGTCTATGCAGAACGTGATGGCCAGAACAAAAAAGACTGCTATGATATCAAACTCAGACGGCTCCTCCCAAAGGGTGCTCCTTAGTGAAACATCTGACCAGGCGCCAGATGTAGAACGAGGCGACTGTCAAGCTGACAGTTCTGAGAGAGGGACCAAGGTGTTCCCTTCCCATCTTACCGTGGACATGTCTAATTTTCCTTCTGCTCCTTCTAAGGGAGAGGAGGCGGGCCCCTCTAGGAGAGGGGAGGAGTCGTCCTCTTCGGACTCGTCAGGGGACGAGTCCGAATCCAGCTCTTCTGACCATAGTTCTTCTGGCTCAGAAGAAAAACATAGCCGCCTACAAGAGGCGAGAAGTTCTCATGCAGTGGAGAAGGGGGATAATTGGGCAGAGCCGTCCGCCTCTTACAGAGAGGAAAACGCCCCCTACTACTGCAGGGTACCCCGGGGCCG